TATTTATAGCAAAACATTAATGCTGTCACTTGCTCGCAAAAGCTACAATAAATAGAATTATCAATAAAAACAAAACTGCATTTAGTAATGGAAAAATAGCAGTGCTATCTGGTAGAATCAATAATGGCAAGTTTCCTACTCGCTTATTTGTTGAAATCCATGCTTCACTTAAGCTGCCATACACCAGGAAAACGAGAACATCAACTTCCATTGCAACCGAGTCTGGAATGAGAGAAGGAAGATAAAATTACCTAATTACTAGAACAAGTAAGTTTCTAAAGAACAAAAAGATATGCACAAATATTTAAAAAATATTTGAAGTTCAATGCATAATTGATAAACAGTGCATGGTAAAAATTTAAAAGCAGCACAAGTGGTACAACTTTTTAATTTCATTTAAGTTTCGGTATTTATAATTTAAAGACAGACGTTACTGTATAGCCGGTAATTCTCATGGGTTGCAAAGTTTATGGATTTCACGTATTCCTTATTGATTCACGAAAATTAATTTAATATGGTACCTGCATGGTACACGTGGTAGAATTCACGAAATTAAAATCCTCGAATTGGATTGTTAGTAGATTTTGCGAAATACAGGACCCAAAAATTACCAGCCATACGGTATTATATGTACATGTATTAGAAAAGGCTTACTGATACTGCATTGTGTCCATTCAACAGGTACAATGGATAACAAACAGTAGTCCCCCAACTCAACAGTCAACAATCAAATGATTAACACATGTTAGGCTGAGGTTGTCCTTGCCTGTAGCCAATCTATGATAAAACAGTCAAAAAATTATAGCTACATGTACATGACATCAACTAACTTTAACACAAGCATCCGTGACAACAAGACGCACCTAAAAGTGTTCAAATTAAGTTGTCAGTACTTGTACTTTACCGAAAATATCAATAAATGACTTTAAAATACACAAATCCTGATATACAAGGGAGTGGTGACCCTGTCCCGTCCAACAAAGATCAGGAACTGGTTCGTTAGTACAAGACGCACCTAAAAGTGTTCAAATTAAGTTGGTAATACTTGTACTTTACGGTATATATCCATTAATCCCATTAAAATACACAAATCCTGATATACAAGGGAGTGGTGACCCTGTCCCGTCCAACAAAGATCAGAAACTGGTCCGTCACTACAAGACGCACCTAAAAGTGTTCAAATTAAGTTGGTAGTACTAGTACTTTATTGTAAATATCAATAAATGACTTTACCGTTTTAGGTTATAGACATTGATCCATTCAGTTACTCCTGGCTCACAAGGATGAATTACAATAGCATCATATATCTACATGTACACACAGTATGTTATACAGTTGTATCAATTAAAGATGAAAAATTACTTAATGAGTACATGTACATTGTACATCATGTAAATGCAAATTTCTGGAATTCAAGAAACAAAAGTAGTAAAATTACATACCGTACATTTGAAATGAAGAACTACACATCCTGTATGCACATGTACATAGGTATCAAGCAGGCTTAAATAATTATTTGAGTGTGGTCAAATGCTTAAATAGTACTACAATAGAGTACTCGTACTCATACTCAATACAATTTGCAAAAATGAGGGACTTGTACTTGTACTCATTTTAAAATTTTAACAGATACATGTAATGTACTTAAATACTTCTTAGAGTACATGTACTTTGCCCCAAGCCAGGTAGCAAGTAGAAATTTAGGCAAATAAAATTTTACCTATAAACCAAA